ACAAACTAATGGTTCTTCCCTCTTTACCCCTCAAATACCCACATACAAACTAATGGTTCTTCCCTCTTTACGGTACATATGGAGGTAACATGAAACAGCAATAACCCTGTGCTAAAATTCACACTTCCAGGTCATGTCAATCTTTGCTATTTCATCTCTTATGAGTTTACAAAAAAACTATGGCAAATGTAAGCATTGGGTCTTCATTATTCATTGCTCATTTTACTCCTTTCAATATGTTTTGTTGAATAATAAACCAGATCACCATGACATTATAGGCACAGGAACATCTTAGTGTAAATTGGAGGTCATATACCAGTTCCTTCATAGTAGCACATGGACAGTGATGTGCACAGAAAAGGACATGTGCATTTGTAAATAATTATATAAAAGACTCTAAAACAAATGGGGAATATATTATCTATATACACATACTGATGCATAGTACTAGTAGCAAAGCTGTGATTCTTCACAGGGAATGGACAAAAACCTATATGTGAGAACACAACAAAGGGATTGAACAACCAATACATATAATACTGTTACACACAGACATGGGGAACAACCCCATGAGTAACCTAAATGGACACAATTATTGAATTGAACAATGAACAACTAGAATAAACAGGTCCATAGAGTTTCAGTAACATGAATGAACATAATTATTGTACTGAACAATGAACAACTAGAATATACAGAGCCATAGAGAACAGTTTCAGTAACGTGAATGAACATAATAATCGAACTGCAGAATGAACAACCAGAATATACAGAAAGATTGAGAACAGTGTCAGTGACATTATTGAACATAATTGTCCAAATAACTTCTTCCTGAGAAAATAGTGAATCCAATCCGTAAAGTCCTCAGGTTACATGCTGCCACTGTTCTTGCAAGGCCGTTACAATACCCGGGAATTTATCGATTTATGCAGTGCATGTTTGTGATAGTGCCCTCTGCAGGTCACTGCTCTAAACTTTCTCAGGTAATAAAGAGGTAGCTTGTGAGCATTGGGTGTATTTTCTATCCATCGATTATGCTATATAAATTGAGGCAAATGTTGCCATATAACCTACTAAGGTGGCCTAAAGTGCTGCTTATTTTTTCGAGAAGCCACTCAGTAAAATTACGATTTCTCTGCAGCCTGATGTTCAATCAACATCATTTGAGTATCTATGTGTTCCTGACACGTTTGGGCATCCGGTAATGACAATGTCTACCCAATGTTTGCACGCAAAATTGACGTAATTCATGACTGAAATCGGGAATGTAGATGGTAATATTATACAAATTCGGGCACAAAATGGTATTTAATAGGCAGATATATATAGTGTTTCCACTATTTAATAGAGGTAAACAATATGCTTTATCAATACTTTTATAAAATCACTGATTGTGTAGTACACAAAAGCAATATCACAACTCAAAATATTTCATCAATCACAAATATCTCTCTCTAGCTTATTTTCATAAGATCTTTTCAAATTATGTGTCAAGATCAATGTTGTTGGTCAAAGGACGGATATAATTTTAAATAACCCTCCCTGTAATATATTGAATAATCAAATTTATCCCATACTTGGACATGTTACAGGTACATAAAGCCAGTTTGTAAAAACTTATATTTTTATCAGCGGGCAGGTATAGCTTTACATCCTGCTTTGAGCGGGCAGATATAGTATATCTGCCCGCTACGTCATAATCGCTGCTCGCATATTTTTTCATAATTTGTAACGTTCGTGTAATGACTGAAAATGAAAATGGAGAAAACACAGACAATCGGGATCTGTTTGATGGTTTAAAAAAAGGAAGGAGCATCCACTTAATCAAACAAAAATTCGAGAAAATAAATGTGGGAATATTTGAGAGAACAGGAAAATCCGCCCACGGCCAAGAAAACAAAACTGGACATGAATATTCTCAAATATTTCCACGACTGAACAATGTGAACCAGATGACCAAGATTGGTATGGGATAAACATATTATCCTATAGTCTGTTCAGGATATTGTGATTATCCCGAGGCAAATATAATATATTTGCCCGAGGGCCACAGGTCCCGAGGGAAAATATATTATATCGGCCAATTGGTCATATAGGATAATCTCTATTTATCCGATGGATACTAAATATATATGGGGATACCAACACAGATAATTTTCATATACGCCACTAAAATCATATCTGATCCATATGACGTGATATCCAATCGTATCCGACGGATACTATTTTAAAAATATTTTGAATGAAAAAATTGAAAAAATTTGAACTTTTGAAAAAGAAACTGAAAAAAAAGTTTTGAAAAAATTGAGAAAAAATTAAAAATTAATTCGGAAAAAAATTTGAAAATGAAATTATAGAAATAAAGAAAATGAAAAAAAATTGAAAAAATATTTGGAAAAAATTTGGAAAGTTACAAGGTTATATGATCAGTAAAAATTAGGGATGGGACGGTTCGTTTCGGTTCGGTTCGGTTCGGTTTTTCGGATCATCAGCCGTCGGTTCGGTTTTTTCAGTTCGGTTCATTCATTTTAAGGATTTGTATTGATTGACATGATTAGCTGCTTTGTCTCTGACTTCACTGCTGACTGTCACTTTCTTTTAATACAACCAATAAAATAAATAATTTATGCTTGTAGAAACCTTAATCAGCTAAAGTATACTTTGAGATCCAGACGCCATATTTGAATGTATTACATACCTAGCGAAGCATTTGTATGGAAGTCAATGGGAAAGTTAGCGAGCTATATCCACCGATATTGCCCGATTACCCCGATATAGCTCGCTTACCTCGTTTTGATATTAGATTTCTTTAATAACCATGATAATATCATGACGTCACGTCATTGATACAAAGTAACCATGGGAACAAAGGCATGTAATACATCAGTTATGTCACTATGACGTGAAATATGCCTTCGTTTTTGCCCAAATATAGAGCCTCCCAAGGTCGGCCTATATTGGGAGAACTCAGGCATATTTCACGTCATAGTGACATAACCTCTAAGAATACACGACTAAAGAATATAGTACCAGGGACCACATGATTGATTACCGAGGGATACGAATACGCGGATACGAAACGAATCTAGTAAACAAGTGAGCTAGCAACAGACAAGACAGACGAGGTAGGGACTAGGAATATCAAAAATGTTGCTGTAAAACAGTGTTTTTAACTGTTTTATTGATACTTGACCAATGAAATATTAATCCGAAAACGGTCCGAAAAGCTGATCCAAAAGTAGGGCCGTGATCCGAAAACCGATCCGAAGGCTATGAACCGCGGTTTTTCGGTATTTCGGTTATCCGTCCCACCCCTAGTAAAAATGAGTTACATTTTTTCATGCAATCATTTTATAAAAATAAGGTCATAGAAAAAAAATGAAAAAATAGAATAGAAATAGAAAACAACTTTAGGTCAAATTATTTGAAGTCCATACAAAAATAGCGACCATCGGATAAATATGATATCTTCTGATTTTCACGGCTATCATTTTTATCCACTTTTGGATATCGCCGATCTCCACTCATTCGCTACGAGTGAGCGTTAGCGATACCCACTCATGGATAAAAATGGTTTCCCTCAAAAATCATTGGATATCCTCTATATATGCATGTGCATGCAGCTCATCTACTAAACGAAACGAAACTAATCGTGAAATCACCAGGTATTGATTTTTCCCTTGTTCTTGCAGGTCAGCCACTGTGGATGTCAGCTGTCAAGTTCCTGTGATATAATCCTAAACAAACTATTCTTCGTATACTAGACATTGATATTCTTGAATTACATCCAACCACAAGCATACTGAGGTTATATACTAAATTTAGACAGTGCTGAATTACCATTTATATATAATCCAAAGCATATTGAGGTTGCCTACTAGCATCAATTGATAAAACTTCAAGCAAATTGAAGTTGAAGCTATCATACATATTGATAGAGTTGAGTGAGTTTAATGCAAAACATTCACTATCGTGCTGAATTACGACTTAATCTCAAACATATCGAGGCTGAATAGTGCATACTAGATGTTGAATCAGCATCAATGTATAAACTTCAACCAAAATGAAGCTATATCATTAATATTGACAGTGTTAACAATATAACCACTGAATTACCACTGATAACACTAAGCCTATTGTGGTAATATGCTAGATATTCAGCACATTGCTGAATTACCAATCATATAAATCATATATTGGGTGCAGAATAATTATTGATAATTAATGAAACACATTTATGGTTACAGGTTACACACTGACATTGCTTTATCATCATTTACATATAACCCTACACATTCAGGTCACAGATACCTATAATCCTAAATTGCAAGCATCATATACAAGGCTGAATTACCCCAAATATACTGAAAGAATATTGTTCCTGTTCAATGAGATTTTAAATGAATCTGCATGAGTACAGATACATGTATAATGTCTAATCACAATCTCATCCAAACTGCAGTAAAGCAGTTTAAATGTGACATTTGTTACAAAACATTTGCAAGGAAATTCAACTTAGGGTTACACAATCTCATCCATACTGGAGAAAAGCAGTTTAAATGTGACATTTGTTCTAAAACATTTGCGCATAAATATTATTTAAAGAAGCACAATCTCATACATACTGGAGAAAAGCAATTTAAATGTGACATTTGTAGTAAAACATTTACAGGAAAATCTAACTTAGTAAGCCACAATCTCATTCATACTGGAGAAAAGCAATTTAAATGTGACATTTGTAGTAAAACATTTGCAAGAAAATCTAACTTAGTAAGCCACAACCTCATCCATACCAGAGAAAAACAGTTTAAATGTGACATTTGTAGTAAAACATTTGCAAGAAAATCTAACTTAGTAAAACACAATATTGTCCATACAAGAGAAAGGAAGTTTAAATGTGACACTTGCTCTAAAACGTTTACATGGAAATCTGCCTTAGTAAATCACAATCTCATCCATACTGGAGAAAAACAATTTAAATGTGACATTTGTTCTAAAACATTTGCAAGAAGATATCACTTAGCAAGTCACAGTCTCAGGCATACTGGAGAGAAGAAGTTTAAATGCAACATTTGTTCTAAACAATTTGCAACAAAATCTCACTTAGTAAAACACAATCTCATCCATACTGGAGAAAAGGAGTTTAAGTGTGAAATTTGTTCAAAAGCATTTGCACATAAATCTTCCTTAGCAAGTCACAATCTCATCCATACAGGAGAAAAGAAGTTTAAATGTGATATTTGTTCAAAGACATTTACAAGGAAATCTGACTTAACAAGACACAATCACATCCATTCTGGAGAAAAACAATTTAAATGTGACATTTGTTCTAAGACGTTTGCATGGAGATCTGCCTTAGTAAGTCACAATATCATCCATACTGGAGAAAAGAAATTTAAATGCAATATTTGTTCTAAAGCATTTGCAAGGAAGTCAGATATAGGAATTCACAATCTCATCCATACTGGTGAAAAGAAATTTAAATGTGACATTTGTTCTAAAACATTTGTACATAAATCTCATTTAGTATCTCACAATCTCATTCATACTGGAATTAAGCAGTTTAAATGTGACATTTGTTTTAAAGAATTTGCACAGAAAGCTACATTGGTAACACACAATCTCATTCATACTGGAAAAAAGCAGTTTAAATGTGACATTTGTTCTAAAACATTTGCACGTAAGGGCAACTTAGTAAGTCACAACCTCATCCATACTGGAGAAAAGCAGTTTAAATGTGACATTTGTTCTAAAACATTTGCAAGGAAGTCAGATATAGCAATACACAATCACATTCATACTGGAGAAAAGCAGTTTAAATGTGACATTTGTTCTAAAACATTTGCAAGAAGATATCACTTAGTAAGCCACAATCTCATTCATACTGGAGAAAAGCAGTTTAAATGTGACATTTGTTCTAAAACATTTGCAAGGAAATTCAACTTAGTGGCACACAATCTCATCCATACTGGAGAAAAGCAGTTTAAATGTGACATTTGTTCTAAAACATTTGCAAGGAAGTCAGATATAGCAATACACAATCACATTCATACTGGAGAAAAGCAGTTTAAATGTGACATTTGTTCTAAAACATTTGCAAGAAGATATCACTTAGTAAGCCACAATCTCATTCATACTGGAGAAAAGCAGTTAAAATGTGACATTTGTAGTAAAACATTTGCATGGAAATCTGCCTTAGTAAGCCACAATCTTATCCATACTGGAGAAAAGCAGTTTAAATGTGACATTTGCTCAAAAACATTTGCACATAAGGGCCACTTAGTTACTCACAACCTCATCCATACCGGAGAAAAACAGTTTAAATGTGACATTTGTTCAAAAACATTTGCAAGGAAATCTGCCTTAGTAAGCCACAATCTTATCCATACTGGAGAAAAGCAGTTTAAATGTGACATTTGCTCAAAAACATTTGCACATAAGGGCCACTTAGTAAGTCACAACCTCATGCATACCGGAGAAAAACAGTTTAAATGTGACATTTGTTCAAAAACATTTGCTTGGAAATCTTACTTAGTAAGCCACAATCTTATCCATACTGGAGAAAAGCAGTTTAAATGTGACATTTGCTCAAAAACATTTGCACGTAAGGGCAACTTAGTAAGTCACAACCTCATCCATACCGGGGAAAAACAGTTTAAATGTGACATTTGTTCAAAAACATTTGCTTGGAAATCTATCTTAATAAAACACAATATCGTCCATACGAGGGAAAGGAAGTTTAAATGTGACATTTGTTCAAAAGCATTTGCACATAAATCTTCCTTAGCAAGTCACAATCTCATCCATACAGGAGAAAAGAATTTTAAATGTAACATTTGTTCAAAAGCATTTGCACATAAATCTTCCTTAGCAAGTCACAATCTCATCCATACAGGAGAAAAGAAGTTTAAATGTGATATTTGTTCAAAGACATTTACAAGGAAATCTGACTTAGTAAGCCACAATCTTATCCATACTGGAGAAAAGCAGTTTGAATGTGACATTTGTTCTAAAACATTTGCATGGAAATCTGCCTTAGTAAGTCACAATCTCATCTATACTGGAGAAAAGAAGTTTAAATGTAACATTTGTTCAATAGGCTTTGCACAGAAATGTCCCTTGGCAAATCACAATATCATTCACCAGTCAGAGGCAAGGGTTGTTCTATGTCCTCTCTCAAAAATGAATAATAAAAACTGTCCTCTTCTTACCAAGAATTTGTAGAAGAGATGTTACTGCTACATCTATTGGTAAAGGATTGGACATTGGACAGAATTTTTTCTGAAAAATTATATGGTCATTCATACCGGATACAATATCCATGTCCTAAAATTAGATCTTACCTCATGGACTTAAACAGTGTGTTGGAAAAATAATGAGCACTTATATTTTGATGCGTTAGGCAAGTCATGTGTTGACTAATTGAAAGGTTAAAGGTTCCCTTTCATATTGATCCTGAAAAGATGGGTATCGATATGGCGAACCTTTTGAACATTTTACACATTGTCAATTTAATTGTCATCTTTTGAATGGTAACAATATAATTGGAAAAAAAAAATATAGTTTCATCTATATTGTTTTAGAAAACACATCAAACACTTGTTTTGTTCTTTGTATCATGTTTCCAGAGTGAAATGAAACATCTTTCTGAACCTCATTGGAACAAAACGACATAAACACAACATGTTTAGGTCTCTCAATATTGTAATTGTACAAAGTAAATTTTGGTTGATTTGTTAATGAAATAAAAGGTTTATCTTGGTTTTTATCTATTTTGGAGGGATTTTGTTTTAATTTTTTGAATACTTTTTTAAAATCAACCAAAAATTCCTTTGTATAACTATAATATTGAGAGGTCTAAAAACATGCTGTATATGCTATTTTGTTCCAACAAGGTTCGGAAAGACATTTTATTTCATTCTCAAGAATTGGTAGAAAGGAGCAAAAACAATTGCACTAGAAAAACAGAAAATGTTAACAAAAACAGTTATATAAAATATTTCTAAATAATTTTCGCATTAAATTGTTGTCAATCAGTCAACATAACATAAAATACCGTGTTTTTACAGAATGTTTTCAATGATTGGTTTAAGAGAAAAACATTGTTGAATTCAGTTCTCCATATCGATACCACTCCTTTACCACAAAAGGTGTGAAACAGTTGAATGTGTTTTTGCAGATTTTAGAACTTTTGGAAGATTTTTGAGAATTCTTATTGCAGTTGAAATCACTTAGGCCTAGATTAGACTATAATCAGCATGTAGAAAATATATAAACTAAAATTGAAAAATATAGGTATCTTGCCAGCTCGTTTTGATTTTTGTAAAACACATGTACATAAATACAGCAATTTATATGTCCTTTAGAAGGAAAAAAGTAGATAATGTTTATTTCCTGTTTCCATCTCACTTGTTTTGTATTGCTTTTTGTATATATTAATATATGTATATGCATTTGTATATGTAATTAAGAAATGGACTTTATTTAGGTATATCACATTTAAAATATTATATGCAAAATATCAACATAACTGATGATAAATATCATATCAACTGATGATAAATCTGACAATTATTAAACTGTCCATATACCTTTTAGATAACCAATTAAGGGTTTATGAAAGGTTTATTTTCTGTTTCTTTCTCACTTTCTACAGATTTTGTGTATATACATGTATGTAAGCACATTTATTATGATAGGAAAGTTCTTTATTTAGCTATACATTACATGTAACATTATACAAATAGTGACTGCCGTTGAGGGCAATAGTGTAAATTATTTCCCTGAGGGAATATCCTCTAAAATGTACTATTCCAGAAGCCGCAGGCTGAGGGAATAGTACATTGTAGAGGATATTCCCAAATTCTGTAATGAGGCACTATTTGTTTTATTATATACCCTATACTGACTCTTGTCCCATTTCCTCCACGAAGTCAAAAAGGGCTTACAAAGCCCCCTCCCCAGGTCCATTGTTAGCATTATAAGCTGCTCAACAGAATTTTTTTCCTAAGAAATTTCTGAGACTCTCACTTGACAAATTCAATCATGTTTAGTTTAGTGGGAAATAGTTGAAATGTATATTCCCGCTTCTTACATTTGAGGGAATATAACTTTTGAAGGGAAATAGTAAATCTATTTCGGAACACGTGACAAGGTATTGACCAATCAGGATTAGTGTTACATATTGGGTATATAATAAATAATAATATTATATTATCATTTTTGTTGAGCTTTATAATCACAGTATAACATGTAACAGTGCATTTTGACTGTACGAGTATAGAGTAATTTGGAAAATCTTTAATTTTTCTATGATTTACCATTTTCACTGTTTGAGTCAAAGCAATTTAGACATTTGCAAGGAAATCTCATAATTTCATCCATACTGGAGAAAAGCAGTTGAATTGTGACTTTTATTTGAAAACATCTCCAAGACAGTCAATATGGTACAACGAAAATGGGACTTCTGCGCATGTTAAAATTTTTCGTCAAAATTCAACTTTTGTTCAAGTTGATACGATTGTCTTTCGAACTAGAGACTTACCTCATTCGAAAGATCATAAAAGACTTTATCTATACTGAAAATTTTAGATCCAAACATAGTAGAATACGCCGTCAGTCCGCATTTGATTTTTTGAAGTGAGTTTCGTAGATCGTCAGATTTCTCCGACTGATATCGGGTTATCTCAAACTGGTTCGTTTATAAATACGAATTTCTTTACCGTTGTAAGGCGCATGCGCAAAATTGATTTATGAACCTTATTGGTTGATGGTTTTTCTCCTGCGCATGCGTGAAGTCTGATGAACACTTATGACGAAAACTGGAGCAAACATTACTACCTCTCGAACGAAATTCCAAGATTCAGGTCATTTCGCCGTGTTTGCTAAGCGTGTATACGTGAATGACAAGCTGTTTTGAGTAGATCGGGTACCTGTTTTAGACACATTGATTTAGCTTGACATTGATGTGCACATTGGCACTTTTGAGCATGTTAATACAAGTGTTTACACTCTTAGCACGAGACGGGTTTTCGAAAAATATGTTATCTGATTCACTCGATTATCGTATGGATATGTATTTCTGCTGACATTTCAACACCACATCACATAGAATTATGATGCAGAATGATAATAAAACACAAAACAACTACTAAATTCCACTTGTTATTTCACAGGAGGTAAAAATGCAAACTGCCTAGATTCTTTGTAAGGGTCGTCAGACATCAGATTGGCCGCCATATTTGAAATGAAAATATCACTAAATAGAGGTCTGCGCATGCCTCAACATTTCGACTGAAGAAAACCATATTTACTAAGACACGATATCATTCATACTGGAGAAAAAAGTTAGAATGTGACATTTGTTCAAAAACATTTGCAAGGAAATCTCAGTTAGTAAGGCACGATATCATCCATACCGGAGAAAAGCAGTTGAAATCTAACATTTAAATTTTGATTCTGTTTTCATTTTTTGTTTAATTGACAGCTGACTATTCTTTTTCTTATTTGTTAATGTATTATATAATGTATTATATATTTTACTGTATATGCATGGAGTGTATGTGGTACATGTAATGATAAAAAATCACTCAATAAAAATGTATTCTCTATTATTCTATTCCCTCTTTTACACAAAATCTTGTGATGTCACGTCACACTCATGAGGATTCTAGAATCACATGGCAGTCATTGTGGAAATTTCAAAAAAAATCCCACTTAAAGGGCTAAATAATGTTTACAAATTGGATACTTTTGTAGAATCAACAAAAGGTTTGTGAAAGAACCCCCCCCCCCCCCCGGCCAAAAAATCATTCAAAATCATGCAGTTTTTTACCATTCTGAGCACCTTTTAAGTGATATTGGCCATTTTTGTACCACAATAGCGCAGATGCGAGTAGGTAGTTACCAGTTTCACCACCAGGTGGCTCATTAGGGTCAGATAGCATTGCGGGTATAGTAGAAAGTTCCCTTTAACTTAAATGACATCTGTTTTAGTGGTTCAGTTTATATATAACCCTTATGTATCTAATAGTTATGCAAATCAAAATATGTCCAGTAAATGAAAATGTTATCTGACCAATATAAGAAAAGATATTTCACTTTTTGTGATTTTGTAACATGGGCTCTATGGAGAATCAACCCGACCTAGAAGTCACACTTTCAAAAATAATTAAATTTTCAAACTTGATGAACAATTTTCGAAACCATATTTTTACAATCAATACAATGTAGATGTACTTTTACATGTAGATTTCAAATATAACATCACTTTGACTGAATTTTTAACATTTAATTGCGTAAATCACTACTCGCATCTAGTCTATTGTCACATGTGAACCCCACTGGAATTTTTCAAAAAGTGAAAAGTACTGGCCTGTACTTGTAGTTGTAATTTGTCATTAACTTTAACACCCCAAGTTACATTTGTCGTATGGCTGTCGTGTATCACTTAACACTGCTTATTTGATATCATAATCCTAGCACAATAAATAACATTTATAAATTGTACTGCTTTAAATTAAATAGAAAAATATGTTATCTGATTCACTCGATTATCGTATGGATATGTATTTCTGCTGACATTTCAACACCACATCACATAGAATTATGATGCAGAATGATAATAAAACACAAAACAACTACTAAATTCCACTTGTTATTTCACAGGAGGTAAAAATGCAAACTGCCTAGATTCTTTGTAAGGGTCGTCAGACATCGGATTGGCCGCCATATTTGAAATGAAAATATCACTAAATAGAGGTCTGCGCATGCCTCAACATTTCGACTGAAGAAAACCATATT